TCACAATCCGTTCTGACTGATGGAAGGTGGGGGGAAATAGACACCATGCTTCACTCATTCACTGATTCTTAGATGTCACGCTTATTTATTTAAAGGAATATTTGCCTTGCATTCCTCTCCTTCTGAAGCCTAACAGCTTCTGTTGCCAAGTGATAAGGATTCACAGAGGGAAGCACCTCTATTAGCCTAGGCCTATATATATATAAAAAGTCGAAGTAAGTTACTGTTGTTTTTATGTGTCACACTGGAACGCTGGAACTGTCCGGGTTTAAAATATAAACTGTCATATTGCATTGAACATGTAAGACATCATGCTAATTTTCCCATATCTTTTTAACATTGATTGTGCAGCAGAGGGAGCACCAGGCCTTCGCATCTGCTGTCTTCACAAGCAGTGTGACGGATTCATTCATTCATGTTCTGGGATTGCCCACCGCCACTGAGTGCATCTGGCACAGCACAGCTTGGGCATCATTCACATCAAAGCTTAAACTTGCCTTTAAAAACATGAGTTGGTTAAGGCCTTAATGAAGTTTTTTTCATTCACCACAATGTCTTGCAAATACTGCATTTTTAACATGATGTGGATACGCTTTAAACGCATGCATAACAGTTTAAAGGAGTAGTTCACTTCTAAAAATAACTTTTGCTGATAATTTACTCACCCCCATGTCTTCCAAGATATCCATGTCATTCTTTCTTCAGTTGAAAAGAAATTAAGGTTTTTGATGAAAACATTCCAGATTTTTTTTCTCCATATAATGAACTTCAATGGGAACCAAACACTTCAAGGTCTAAAAGACAGTTTCAGTGCAAACTGATATATATATATATATATATATACATATATACAGTATATATATATATATATATATATATATATATATATATACATATATATATATATATATATATATATATATATATACATATATACAGTATATATATATATATATATATATATATATATATATAATAGAGCTGTTAACGATTAATCGCATCCAAAAATAAAAGTTTGTTTGTGGGTGCACTGTGTATAATTATTTTATATAAATACACACACACACACACATGCTTGTATATATTTAAGAAATATTTTCATGTATATACTGAATATATCTTTTATTTATAATTTATATATTATATAAATATAAATAGTTTATATATGAATAATATTTTTTTCTTAAATATACATGAATGTGAGTGTGTGTATTTATATAAATACAAAATAATTATACAATGCACCCATATATTATGTAAACTCAAACTTTTATTTCGGATGCAATTAATCAAGTTAAAAAAATTAATAATGAGATCAATTTTAGTTTTATAAAGAAATTTCTGTCAAAATTTATTACTTTAACACCACATGAAACTCAGTAAAGTGCTTTGAAATGTTGATTGTAAGCAAATAAAGTATTAGGCTGTATTATGCTGTACAAGGCTATGTGAATATGATTATGTGAATTATGATTCCAGTTATATAACATGAAGAGATGCCACTCAGCACACCAATGACATTTATATTAATTCTTCAATCAAACATTATGATCTGATGTTAGAGATTCCTCTTCAGTCGGAGGCCATCAGGATATTGAAAGAAATTTCAGTTACTTATTTTCCTCAGAGGTGCTTTCAATCTGAGTCTTCCACAAAAGCTAAGAGAGAGTAGGCAGATGCATGAAGTGCTAATTGGTTGAATGAAGAGAGAAAAAAGCCAGAAAGCAGGTCTGAAGTGAATTTATACGAGATGGCAAGATTACTGAAAGGTCACTCTATTACACTTCTCCTCCACATACACAGAGTTAGAGCTCTTCATTCAGAGACACAGCAGTCGTGTAAAAGAGTGAAGAGGAAAGGAGAGGAGAAGCTCTACATTTCAATTATGCGAGAAAAGTCTGCAAGTCGGTTTCTCTGTCCCAAGCCTGAACCTCTTGAACTTGCTTTGGAAATTGCATTTCAGATTGTGTTTGGTGTGACACTAGAACAGGTCTGGTCTTTTTAATGAGAAATAAATGTCAGAAATACAGTGCCCCCCCAAAAAATTGAATACTTGAAATTGTCTTTGCTCTTTGTAATAAAATCTTAAACATTTTATTTCAGAGCGATAAAGCAAGCACATTTTCAAGCAAAAAAACAAAAACAAAAAAAACCCCCAAAACTTTTCTTGTTAAAATTTGCAATTTGTTAAACGCTGTTAAGAACCTCATACTTCAATGACTAATATTGACACTAGTCGCTAAAAGTTCATTGCAAAAACTAGCCCAGAAAAGAAAAAATGTCATTTTTAGCTGATAATTTGTTGACGAATTCTTATAACACAACAATATTCCTATATTTTGAGTGTACAAAGGCATCCAAATACTTTTTGGTGATCTTAACTAAAATTCTTTAACCTTTAGCGCAGGAATACATGATCATTGCACTGAACCGACACTGACTCTTTCTGTTTAAAAATTAACATCCACAGAGGTATATGTGTCAAAATGGATACCTTTCCTTGTCAAGTTACAGAGCCACTGGAAAATTCTGCCTGCCAAGAGGCTGAGGTCTGGGTTTTACTGGATCCTGAGCTGTGAGATGATCGCCCAAAGCATCTATATGAACAGCAGCATCTCCTTTCACTCGCTACTCGTTGTGACATCATCATCAACACTATCAGGGTTGAGCCAACAGGAATTTGAGGTGCTATATAACCTCTGACATTTAACTTCTCTGCCTGTTTTCCATCACGCTGTGTAATTTGACACAGAAATGCCAGTTGGCACATAAGGTACCAGTGTGTGAACGCCAGAAGTCTTGACTTTTTACATCACAAATACAATCTCTTGCAAACTGGTTTAAATATCCACTCACTCATAGTTAATTTTAAGACTTTTATTTCTTAGTGAAAAGTTTTTTTATTTTTTATTTATTATTTATTATTTAAAAATGATTAAATTATTTCATGGTCAGGTTAGATTGAAGTTCTAAAAACCATTATGGCAACAGTTATTATTTGAGTGTAGTTCAATATATTGAAAAGGTGCTATTTACTTTAATACTCATAAGCTGAGTCCCAACTTCTGAATAAAGTTGTTTAAAAAAGTAACTAATTGCACCACTTAGTTACTTCTTATGGAAAGCAATGTTGGTTAATATGAAAGCAAATTGGTTAATAAAGAGAGATTAAATACATAAAATACATAAATACATAAAGTATATTTGTGTAATTTAAAGGGATAGTTCACCCAAAAATGAAAATTCTGTCAGTATTTACTCACCCTCATGTTGTTCCAACCCCGTAAGACCTTCGTTCATCTTCGGAACACAAATTAAGATATTTTTGATGAAATCTGAGAGCTGGATCACTAGTCCATAGGCTTCTTGAGGGATTGAAACTTGACTGCCTCGAAAAGTTATTAAAGACATTGTTAAAATAGTCCAAGTGACTACAGTGGCTCAATCTTAACTTTATCAAACGACGAGAACACATTTTGTGCGAAAAAAAAAAAACATACAATTTTTTTTTTTCTTTATTTCAACTATTCATTTGCTGTCGTTTTACAGCACACGCATCACACACATGATCAGCATCAGTCAATAGTGAGCCTACATGTGACGTTTAACTGGAGGCCCAAATTAAAGTTAAGATTGAGCCACTGTAGTCACTTGGAACAACATGAGGGTGAGTAAATACAACGCATTCTCATCCTTTAACGTCATATAGAACGGTATATGACAAAACGGCGCTATACTACGCACATGGCACCCGTTATCGTTAATATTCACGCTAAAGGATTTATAACGTCTTGGGTTCGCGTGTTATATTAACGATAAAGGGTGCCATGTGCGTAGTATAGCGCCGTTTTGTCATATAGCGTTCTATATGACGTTAAAGGATGAGAACGGGCTGGTAAATACTGACAGAATTTTCATTTTTGGGTGAACTATCCCTTTAACATACAGTATTTAATGATTGTAGGTTTTCATAATACACGGATAATTCTGAGGAATACTAACCCCTTAAGGACTTAAACCTTATCCTAAGTCTTAAACCCAAACCTACTGCAGTCCCGGCATGTTTGAGCTGTTTTAACTGAAAACAACTAGTAATATATACTTTAAAATATGTTTAAAATATTAGCTGTGTCACAGGTGTTTAGGAAATGCATAATGCAGAGGAATCACAGGCAATACTGATAAACAGTTAGTAGGAAATACATACATTAACACCACTTAACACACAACAAGAAATTAACAGGTCAGGGATATACAGAATTAACAAGGGAACTTGAATGATAAACAGGTGAACATAATTAGTAACCAAGGAGATTATAAGACACTCTAAATGCTAAACTGTTAAACATGAAACCAAGACAACACAACTAAACAAGATGAAACACAGAGAATCATTTACTTGAAAAAAGTAATCTGATCAGATAGCTACTGTACTTACCCGCAACACTATTTATAATGATATATTGTGGTGACTAAAATTGTGAGAAATGCCTCAGAAATGTAATTTTCAAATTATAATATCCAATTATAATAAAATAATAAAATAACGAATAAGTATTAAAAATCCAGAAAATCTTATCAAAAAAGGTACGTGAATGAGCAATTTTTACCTGATCCAGCCCTTAAAGCTAATTTTGTTTGCGTATTAATATTGAATAAAAACAATTAGCTTACTTGTATTTTTAGAATAAAAATTTTAATTAGTGATGATAAGTATAGGATAACTTTTGAAAAAGAACTGCCGGACATTCAATATTGTTGAATTATTGAGAAATTCAATATTTCATAAACCATCAATAATGCCTACATAGCCTAGCTATACATATTTGAACAAGGATTTCAATAAGACCTTATCCAACATCGGAATTATGGCAAATGTTTAATAGTAATGTACACTAAACTTTCTGCATCTTAAAATCATCGAGAAGACACAGAGGTTTATCTTTCCTCCGCGCGCGCGCGCACACACACACACACACACACACACACACACACACACACACAAAGTCGTGTTCTTGTGACTTGGGTGAGTGCGCGTGAAATTACAGTCGCTATCTCAGTCGCGCGCTCTGAGGTATCAGAAGCAGCGCTTCAGTCTGGGAGATTGTCTTGACTGAGTCTAGCACACACATCCACTGGAACGAACAGTCACGAGCTTTACACGGAGGGACAACACTTCTGGAGGCTACAGGTAAGCACTTTACACATCAGCCTGACAAATGCCGTGACCAATATGCTCTTGAGCTTGAACTCAGAAACACTCAAAGCTTGAGGAACACTCAAAGGATTCATCAGCATTAAGTGGTCCAGGGTTACTGCATGATATGTTAGATATTTTCGTCTTTTGAGAAAGATGCATTTCCCTTGTGCGATTGATCAAATTGATATTGCCTATATTGAAAGCAAGTCGCTTACGCAATATTTTAAAGAACGAAACGAAAACCCGCAGTTCTTGATTCTTGTAATTCATGTCAGTGCTAGTTTGTCACCAATTGCGTAATGAAAATTAACTGTCAAATGTAGGCTACTACTTTTATTTCTATTACCATAATGCATTTAGATGTAGTAACTTATTAGGCTAGATTACCTACAATTTACCATATGCATCTTAAAAAAAAGTTATTAAAATAACCTTGTGTGTAAAGAACATTTTAATAATCCAAAGAACCTTTTTTAGCTTTAACCTTTTGTGCAATGGAAAGTTTGCATGCTTCTTCCTGGAACCACAGATGCCAAAAGAACCCTTATTGTTAAGAGTGTTCTGTCATCATTCACTCACACTCATGCCGTTCTAAACCCATACTGTAGCCTATTCTTTCTTCCATTTGGTGTTATGTTACTGATTACACATTACACATGTATCCCTGAAATCAGTACCATAATCTTTTTAAATGACCTTTTTATAGGAATTTTATCTCATACTTTGTTGGATACAGTGGTCTGGATGCTTATTGGTATAAATAAAGATGCACAATATTTAAATTCACATTCAATTAAATTCAAATCACATTTATTTGTATATTTATACTTGGATCATTAATTTTCTGCATGCAATGTTCTGTTATTCAAGGGACTATATTCTAGTGGAGGAATGGTATTTTGGCATTTGGTCATGGTAATTTCAGTCATTAATGGCCAATACAAATAAAAATAATTTATGTTATTAATATTTTTAGCAATTTTACAAGGCACTTGGGCCTTGCTATCGTCACAGATGGCTGTTGCAAGGAAGCGGACAACAAAGGAGAATTCCAGGAAATAGTCTTTTAATCCAAACACTCAAGAAACAGGCAGGGGAAACTCAGAACACATCCACTTCAACATAGATGAGAGACTAAATAAAACAAGGAGTACTTACACCAGAAAGAAATAAAGGGAACCAATGAGTTAATTAACGAGCAACGGGTGAACTGAAAGAAATGGACATACTAGAAACTAGGTTTACATGACACTGTTTTCAACTAAAAACTTTTAACTTTTTTTGCGTTTTGGCTGTTCGTTTGTACGACAACAACTTTTGAAACTGGTTTCCATGTAAAAAAACAAAATGTGAATCTCTAAAGACGATGACGTCATGCACATGCGTATTACTGTATGTGTTCAGTCTATAGTTTACATCGCTATCTTATGGTCTGCCAGCAGAATACAGCGTTTTTAGGCCTTTTCATGGATCTCTGTGAATAAGGATCGTTTTGACAATGGTGTCGTCTGTACACGGACAACTCAAGGAAAAACGTATTCTTTTATCCAAAGCGAATAACATTGCATTTCAAGGTACACATTTACATTCTTATCAGTTCTTGCTTTCCCTGGGAATCAAACCCTGACCTTGGCGTTGCAAGCGCCAGTGCTGTTTGAGCTACAGGAAAGCATACTCAACTTTCAACATAGTCAGTGCGTACTCAACTTTTAACACAGTCTCATCCCAAGAATTCAAATAACTGACGTCTTAGGACGTCTTTTGACCATACGTCAACATCCACTTTTTTAGGGTACCCTTAAACGTCGGTTACATGACGATCCCGGGCCGTCATACAACTGATGCTTTACCTTTAACGTCGGTTAGGTGAGAGGTTTAGGGGTAGGTTTAGGTCTGGGGTAGGGTTAGGATCCGATAACGTCATCTAACCGACGTTTAAGGGTACCCTAAAAAGGCGGATGTTGACGTATGGTCAAAAGACGTCCCAGTCATATGACGTCTTATGATGAGACTGTGCTGCAACTTTCAACACAATCAATCGCCCTGGTGCGCAAGACACTTTGATCGCACTTAACTAGCCCAGTTCATTCAATATGGGCCAAGCAGAGAAGAGACCAAACTCCCAAGCACTTGCTGTGGTATTCCGCCATACAATATAGTTATACACTTTACACGCTTAGAAAAGCGCAACGTTTTATTTTGTGTCACCGTCCTAGGTCGAGTTACACTACTCGTGTAACTGTATTTAAATATGGAAAACGTGGAGGTGTTTGGTCGCTTCTCTGCTTGGCGCATATTGAATGAACTGGGCTAGTTAAGTGCGATCAAAGACGAGAGAGGTACAGTATGTATCGACTCGTCTTAGTTAAGTGAATAACATAGTTTAATATGAAAAAATGGTGGACTATCCCTTTAATAGTTAATTCTGTGTTTTCACTTGCAAGAATAAGCTTTGTTTTATAAAAAAACAAAAAATGAATAAGTGAATAGTGACCGAGGGTCTTCTTTAGTGTTGCACTGAAGACAACACAAGAGGCTTTATGGAAAAACATGAGGGTGAGTAAATGATGTCACAGAATTTTGGAACGTGCTCAACAGTCAATTGTTAAAGCTAGAGTGCTATTTTACATGTTTAATTCATGTGTGAGTGGTTTGTGATGGTAACAAGAGTTTTGCTAATGATCCGAGCTGACTGCAGTTCAGTATCGGTCATTTGCCTAGATTTGAGTACGATTTTTCCATGTCACCAGGAAGGGGGTGAGGTCTGTCGTTGCACCCAGTCATGTTAAATTATTCAGATGCCATCTCTATTTTTCACCGAAACACAGAGCGACTCACAGCGAGACACCTTTAATTGGTAGAAAAGTCACTATGCACTTTTTTTTTTGAGCATGGGGTTTTCTTTAAAACAAATCAATAGTGCAATGACCCACAATAACACCTGCACCCGTCCGAAAATATTCTGATGATCATTCATTTGATGAAGGCTTTGTGCGGCCGCCTACAAAGCCAGTCTTCTACAGTGCTTTGTCTCGCTATAAATGGCACCAAGCACACGCACAGCCCTTTGATCCCTTACTCAAGTCCCTTTTGTCTTTGCCGTTCACTTTCACCAATGAAACAGCCTGTATGCTAACAAGAGGTCAGGGGAGTGAGCTGTATTTGTGCTGGTCACCATTAACATAATAGCGGCATGAATAATCAGTCCATTTTCAACCAACATTAAAGGCAGAGAACATAAACAGCTTAGTTTCTTTTTCTGTCTGCCATCCAGCATCTGTGTGGTGCTAATTCATCTGAATGGTGCTTTTAGATAAAAAGATTATTTATTTATTTATTTATTTTTGGAATATTTGCCATGATCACTCTTTGAACTGCTGTGATTTCAGCAGTGTGTAAGATTGTAGCTTGAGGGTCTGTTTTATCAGGCATATGGGTGCCGTTCTTTGGTCCAAACAGTTCATTTCCTCATCGTTTCATTTTCACTGTCCTTTAATCCTTTTTCTCTTTAAAGTACTCAACATCGCTGCTTTCTTTTATCTGTTCACCCTCACTTTTTCCACAGTATCCCTTTGATTCAGTTGAGTCACCCACTTCCCAAATGGAATCAAGGGTAAACTAAAACGATGATGAATGACAGTATAATAACCTCTCTAGTCTCTATTGAGGTTTCTCAGATAAAACAAAACTATCTTTAAAGTGGCTGATCTGTAGTAAATGACTATATTTCATCTGTCAACTGTGTGTAGAGCATGGATGTTTCTCATTGCATCAAAGCACGCAAAGTATCATTGTGGTCTCTTCAGTCTTATCTAAGATCAGCTAAGCCATACTGGTTTTGTCCATGCAAATGATGAGGTGATTGTATGTGTCATCAGATTAAAAAAGCAGGTTTGTTTTGGGACGGTGCATGTGTGCAATATAGTGAACGAGCAGCATTGTATGCATTGATGCAGTATAATAATACTAATAAATTACTTGACTGAATAAATACTAAACTACAATGAACTAACGAATAAAACCCCATTCTTTAGCAAACAAATGCCATGTGTTGATGGTGCTGATGCATGTTTTCATGGTAAATGTCCATATTAGTCACCCTGCCTTCGTCATTCACGCAGGACGGTGTGCACATGTGCCATGCGGAGGGCTGAGGACCACCAGCTGCTCCACATTACATCAGACCATCAAATCATGTGGCAGACAGATTATGCAAGCCAACTGTACTCATGTGTAAATATGACTGTGTATTATTTAATTGGTATCTCAAGAGCAAGAGTGCTGTCATAATAATTCTTAATAAACAACTCAGTATCTTGGATTTTAGATGCAACATGAATGCTCCGCTAACAAAATGTTTCCAAGACCATAACAAAGCTTGTTTTTGAGCAACAGATGTTTTGCTCCTTAATGAATCGAGTGAACGATTTTTGTTCATAAAGACAGCCAGTTGCATTGTTTCTGATTGAATCTGTGTTTTTGAATGAATCATTTGAGTGAATAATAAATTATAGCCATAAATATAGTCACTTGTCGTCGTACACTGGTGTAAGAGTGTCTGTCAGACCACAGTCTGGAATCAGTGTTGCTATTCTTAAAAATAAAATCAATATGAGATGAAAACTTAAATCTAAAAAAATAAATAAAAAAATAATAATATATATAAATGTTGTCTTAGCAACTAGCTGAAATAAAATAAGTCTAAAGTTGAGGACTACATTTAAAATAAAAATGAAAATATAAAAAGAATTAAAAATATTAACAATTAATATAATAGTATATAAAGATAGCACTGTCCAGAAGGCTGCTCTACCAATCAGATAACCTAATAATAGATAACCTAAAAATGTACTTTATGTGGTTACATTATTAACATGAATTCACTAAAGTTAAAGATATTATATAATGTCTGAACCAACCTGACTACTTTAGGTTACATTAAACAAAAGCCATTTTATGTAGTATAACTGCCAATAAAAGTGATGCCTATGATGTTTACCTCAAGGATACCAAAATGTATTGGTTCTTAAAACTTAAACCTTTTGATCTGAGATTGTAACATGGGACCAAAATTTTATCATTTCATATAGCCCACTTCCCACAATTGGATGCTCAGCACCATTCAGTTTCTATCTCCTTGCATTTAGTATGAATCGGAGAACAGCTTTGCTATTATTTCTACCCACTGAATGTATCCTTGCTCTTGATTTTAGTTTAAATGGTGGAAGAGTTGATTTGAATAACAAACTATGTACAGACTTGCTCTGCATACAATCATGGCAGGTGCACATGGATTGGCTGGATGGCTTTGGCATGATCTTTTCATAGATGAGAAAATAAGCTGTGGTTATTGCAGGTGGCTCATCTGAATCAGTCTCACAGGCAAATGAGTGGACCGAGCGACGCTGTGCCTATGAGATTCTAAATGTACTTTTTCCTGACTTGTAGGTTAAAGTGTCTCACTGGGCAGTATGACGGATGTGATGAACAGCTGTGACCCTGCGGTAGGAGACTACAATGTGAGCGGTGCATCAGAGGAACAGAACATCTCTTTACAGGTGGGCTTGCACTCCTTTGGAGCGACAGTACATTAAATTGCTATTTGCCAAAAAAACAAAGAAAAAGGAAATGGATGGACATGAAATATTGATTTGATCAGTGTTGGGGGTAACAAATTACAAGTAATGCGGGTTATGTAATCAGCTTACATATTCAAGTAATTAACGCATTACTTTTTAAATTTACAACAAAATATCTGAGTTAAATTATTAAATTCAAATTAGTAATGCAATTCATTTTTCCCGTTTACATTGACTGACATCTCTCCTGTCTCCCATGTTGAGAGAAATCGGACGCAGTGGTGTTGTTTGTACTGTTAACATGATGGTTATTGTAGTTCTCTACCAGTGGTTTCCAAAATGGGGTATATCCCTGGGGTGCGTGACACATATCCCTTTGATGCATGAGGTGAGAGAGGGGGAATGCGATCAAAATGCTACCCCACCTTAAAATAACATTTAAAACCAAGTATGCATTTCCAACAGGCAAAATGCCATAAAAGGTCAAATACATGACATCCAATCAAATTAGCTCATCTTTTGCAGTCAAAACTGACTGCATCCGCACAAACAGCATACATAAGATAGGTTGCATGCAGGGTATTCAGCCTTAGCAAATCACACTACATTGCTGCCATTCTTGACTATACCTTTGTAAAAGTAACAAAACAATGTCTAAAAGCTACTATGTGACAAGGTGTACAAACAAGCTAAATAACCCAGAAATACATTTTTATAAGCTGTCGACCCCCCCAAAAAATATTGTTTACTGCACACATACTGAGTGTCAAGATCCCACAATTTATCATTTTTTCCTGCTGATGCTTCATGTCTTATTGCCTGTATCCAATTTTGTCTCCTTAAAGGCTGGCTTTTATGGTTTGGAAGCTCATAAAAATTTATTTCTGGGTTTTTTTTTAGCTTGTTTGCTGTGCACCTTGTCACATAGCAGCTTTTAGGCATTTTTCTGTCTTCTGTTGTTATAAGTCAAAATGACAAGGAGGCAGCCTCACACATTGCAAAGTCAATGGAGACGGTAGAACTGTTTTCCCCCTGGTGGGCGTTGTCTTCAGATTATGAAGTGTTGTGCTCTGTCTCTATGCAGAAGGATGTTAAATGCCTCAGGAGTAAGCCACTAGACAGTTTGGAAACCACTGTTAAATGTGAGCAGGAATTTACTGAAATGAAAACTATATTTTATATCACAGATCCAATTTATTTAATCTCACTTTATTAACCAATGTCTTTGCTGCTGACCTTTGATAATCAGATTCAACCCTTCTCCTTTAGCCAGATGTTTATTCATTTCACTTTTGGTGCAAAAGGCCCAAATTTACCCAAAAATATCATTTATTTATTTATTTATTTTGTTATAAAGTATTTTTTTTATATAGTATCTCAGCCCAGGAGAGAAAAGTAATGCAAAAGTAATGTAATACTTAAAAAGTAACTTATAAAAAGTAAGTAGGCTAAGTAATGCAATTAGTTACCTTTTAGGGAGTAATGCAATATTGTAACTCGTGACTTTTAAAAATGGCTTTCCCCAATACTGGATTTGTGTTATTTTAAATAAACTAGGCTAATTGGTAACACTTTATAATAACTACACGCTAATAATCATTAGTTAAGCATGAGTAAACCATTAATTCATCATTCATAAAGCATTAATAAACATTAATAAGCAGTTCATAAATACAGCTATAAATGCTTTCTTCTTGATTTAAAAGCATATCTATAATTTGTTTAATAACTGTATTTTCATCCTTTATTAATGATCAATTTATCACTTCTAAATGAAGAATTGCATTTTTTATGAACCAGTTATTTAAGAGTTTTCAGTGGTTCATATGATTACTTATAGCGAGTAAGTAAATGATTAATAAACTATTTAAATGTACATTCATACATCTTATTATTCAGACATAGTGATGGTTACTTAATGTGTTAATAAATGCTTTATTAACATGTATTAATGCTGTAATTAAGGGTTAATTTGAGTAGTTAAAGAGCATTTAGTAGTGGTCAGTTAACTATGTTCGTGAGCTCATCTAAAGTGAGGACTAGTCATGCCTTGTAAAGCATTTTTTAAGGCTGTTAAAAATTTCTATGTTCTGTATCACTGCGTTGTGTTTGTTACATTTTACTGTTTAGAAGATTGACGAGTCTTTAAATCACCTTTATAAATGCTTTACAAAGCATGAATAGTCCTCACTTTAGATTAGCTCACAAAAATAGTTAACTGAGTGACCACTACTAAATGCTTTATAACTACTTGTATTTACTACATTTACTTACACTTTCTAAGTGATCTTATGAATGACTGACAACTAACTCTTAAACAACTGGTTTGTAAATAATGCTATACTTCATTTAGAAATTATTAATTGATCATTAACAAAGTATGAAAATACAATTATTAAACGCATTATGCTTATAAATCAAGAAAAAAGCATGTATAGCTATATTTATAAACTGCATATTAATGTCTAGTAATGTTTTATAAATGATGAATTAACTGTTTACTCATGCTTAACTAATGATTAATAGCGTGCAGTTATTATAAAGTGTTACCGGCTAAGGTATTATCTTACATGTATATTAGCTATAGTGTTCTGCTATAAATATAGAAAACAATTGGTCTAGCAACAATGGCAATTTAATTAATTTTAATATAATCTTAATTTATATTAAATAAGCAATATAATTTATTCTGCAATCCATGTTACTTTTTATGGACTTGTTAGCTAACATATTTTACATAGTTACATACTTTTCATTCCATTGAATTCAATTCATACATATGTGAATTAAAAATAGGCTCATGCGAAAGTTGAAAATGCGTGACCAATAGAAGAATGATACGATGTCACGGCATGACCTCTTAGATGAATTAAAGGAATGCATTATCAAAGCTGTGTTTTGGACGTTGCTATTCTCACAGAATTAGAACGGTTATTGAAACTACACTTTTAAAAAAGGTTCCAAAAAAGGTTTACGCAGTGATGCCATAGAAGAACCATTTTGCCTTCCCCAAAGAATCTTTCAGCGAATAGTTTTCAGCGAATAGCGAATAGAACCTTTTGTACAATGGAAAGTTTCCAAGGACGTTAAAGGTACTTCATGGAACCATTAATGCCAATAAAGAACCTTTATTTTTGTTGTACCATTAAGCAGCAGACATCTTTGAGCATTAAATACCATGGTTGACAAATCAAAATCCAGTTTTCCATTAGAGCCAGGTAAATTATAGGTTATATTTTAAGTCATAGTCATGCTGTGTTTTTCTAGCTCCTGGATAGATGACGGGTCTCTGTGGATCTATTTTGAGCTCCATCATTTCAGCCTGATTGAAGTCCCTTTTATTTAGCTTACATCACTACGAAAAGCCAATCGGATGCATGCTCGTTCATACAATCTGATGCTGGATGAATTCAGATTCCTCTCAGACACTCAAGAGAGACTCAAAAGGTCACAATCTTTTCAGGAAACGATCATCATAACCCGTTCTTTACCACAGGATAGGCAGTGGCATTATATTCTAGCTGAATGAACCCTGTCTGAATCTGTCATTCACTCTGTCATGTAAGCTCTTTCTGTGCCGTGTAAACTAGCATGCCAGTGCACAGCCTTTTCCACAGTTGGTGCAGATGCTTTTAGACTACTTGATACCCGACATGTTGCAGACACACAGATACACAGTCAAGATGCTCTTGTTCACACTTCACTGCATCTACACAACATGAGTCACATACCGCTCTCATGAACTCCAAACATTATAGCAATAGAACTCACACAAGGCATGAGGTGAATGCAAAACACTTCATTAATAGAAATCCATCAAGGATTTTTTTTTTTTTTTTTATGAAACTGCTTGGGGGAAGCTTTTGTAATCAAATATTTACTCATAAGTGATTGTCCACAAAAAAAAAAAAAAACAGATTTCATTCTCCTCTCTGATTGCTTATAATGGGAATTAGTTCTGCATGATTAATCATATTGCAATCGCAATGTTACGCCTATTTATTAATATGATGCAAAATGCTGCGATTTTATTAAATAAATGTGGGGACATGACAACCTATTCCCTCTGAGAGCTGTTTGGCCATTTTCTACACCGCTAATAAAAAAAAAGTCAGTTTCAGTTGAGGCAGTGGCACGTATGCTCACGTCGTGACTTTTTCCCTTGTGCAGCGCGGAGAACAGGTGAAGACGTATGTCAAGCTGGTGGACACAGAACTGGTGGCCAGAACAAAAATCTACCTCTGTTATACAGTATGGCGATATTTTGGCTATAAGATAAATGACACTGAGCAGAGAGAGCAGGGCTGCCAACTCTCACTCATTCAGCGTGAGACTCACACATTCATTTTCTCACTCAGAGAAAAATCAAAGAGAACACTCGACATTGAAACCGACAGACTAGACAGAGCAGGTTACTTTTGATAGGAAACAGATTCTCAGCTCTCAGATTTTGTCTTTTTTTTATTTATTAATTTTTTACAAAATTCAAACGGTATATGTGTTGGCGCTTGTAAATGTGACGTGACAGATCATGGTCATAAACAGTACACCTCTTACTCTTTACTAGCTAATAGTAAATAAACACGATATAACAATATGTGTGTTGAAAGATACAGTACAACTTACTGAAATGTTTATGCCTCGTTTATGCCCAGTGCTTTTCAACAATTTTTCAACAATGTCACATAACGTTACATTTACATCAGGAAAGCCATTTAATAGCACATTAGTGGGCTAGACAAATTATACACTGACCAAAATATCAACGCAACACTTTTGGTTTTTGCTCCCATTTTTCATAAGCTGAACTCAAAGATCTAAGACTTTTTCTATGTACACAAAAGGCCTATTTCTCTCAAAAGCCGTGTTTCCACCGCAGGAACTTTCCCCAGGAACTAGGAACTTTGGGGTGGTACTCGGTGTGTTTACACCGCAGGAACAAGGGTCTAACGGTCCCAGAATGTCCCTGCTGGCGAGGTAGTACTTTTTCAGAGTTCAGGGTGGGACTTGTGAGCTGAACATGCTGATTGGTTCTTACCACTTGTTCTTTCTGCCAGATGGCACGCGTTGTCCCATCCATCTCATGGTCAATGTCCGCTGATAACAAACGTCTACTTTTATATCTAGCATTACAAGCTTTCTAAATATGCTTTGGGACCGGTACTTAGTCCGCGGTGTAAATGCAGTAAGCAAGCGGTCTGGGGCAAAAAAAGTTCCTATGAAAAAAGTTCCTGGGACAAATAGTTCCTGTTAATTGCAGTGGAAACGTGGCTAAATATTGTTCACAAATCGGTCTAAATCAGTGGTAGTGAGCACTTCTCCTTTGCCGGGATAATCCACCCACCTCACAGGTGTGGCATATCAAGATGCCACTCTAAATCTTGAACTAGATCTAGATCCTGAATACAATAAGTACATTTTAAGGGCTTTCAGACTTTGAAAATGCATTTTTAACACGCATGTGATGTGGCTTCCTATGACCCAATGATATAGATCTTCCCAGACTCCCATGAAAGGTTTCCCAAGCTTTCCAAACGCTTGCCGTCCATCGTGGTTGAGCCCACTGAGAGCGGGGAGGTAGAGAGCGGGGAACTCCGCTGGCCTCCTGATGATCTGAGCCCTACAGATGACCCCAGAGACAAACAGGCACAGGCTGCAAGTAAGCTCATATAAAGCATGAAAAGAACATTTTATTAAGTTTACTTTCGCAACTTTGTTCTCATAATACTACATTTTAATATCATATTTTTTTTTTCTTTCTTAAGCTTCAATCTCAATTTCTTACACTTACACTGTTACACACCTTGGGTCATTAGCGACCCACCCTATACATCTTTTCTTGTTATATTGTATAAGTATATATAAATTATACATATATATATATATATAAGTTTATTTTTTATATAAAATAGATATTATTATAAATAAAATTAACCCTATATTTTGTTTTCTTGTTCTATTGTTTATTATGAATTGATTGAGGAATACTAAGAAGGTTGATGTCTAACTTTAAAAAAATAAATGAGGAGGTGTGAATGACATACATGCATATGCGTATAAGGGTTAACATGCCACTAAAACGTTATTATACTATGTAATATTAATACTCTATACCATCCAAAGGTTTGGGGTTGGTTTGATTAAAATAGAATAAAAAGTGTGAAATATTTTCAAATAAATAAAATAGATAAAAATAGATTCCTGTGCTGGCAAAGCTTAATTTTTAGCATAATTACTCCAGTCTTCAGTGTCTTATGATCCTTCCGCATGTTGATTTGATGCTCAAGAAACATTTCTTATTATTATCATCAATGTTGAAAACAGTTTTTGCTTAATATTTTTGTGGAAACTGTGATAAGTTTTCTTTCAAAAGATTTTCAGAAGAACAGCATTTATTTGTAACATTTAAATGTATTTACATTTTTGATCAATTTAATGTATTTGCTGAGTACAAGTATCAATTTCTTCCATAAAAGTCTCACTAACCTCAAACATTAAAAGAGCAGTCCAAGTTAAAACAATTTTTGAAATTATATTTCAATTGCAGTTTGACACATTTTGAAATGCATAAATGTGGGAATTCGATATTGCCCATAAAGTGTTTTGCCCGGTTGCGGCATCAGATACAAATGAATTTTGCAGGGATGTTTGAGTATATTGTATTTGCATTTCAGGTGACAAGCTCACAGAAGACAGCAAAGACGTCGGACCGGGGACGGAAATCTAAGAGGCAATGGTTGGCACTACTCCAGCCAATCACTGTGAATGTCTTCATTACGGACAGGAGTGAGTGGGAGACTCCACCAGTTAGGTCTGCCTTTCATCCACACTAGAGCCGCTCACCTGTTGACCTCCACTCCCTAGGTGGAGCCGAGGCCTGAGAGACTTCTTAACTGAACTAGCTCATGTGCCAAACTCTAGTGGTAGTCAGCTGCAGTGATTGAGTTTTAAATGATCTCCAATAACAACACCATGATACCTGTTAGAAGTCACCTACCCCCTATCCCTGCTAAATTATAGATTAGCATATATTTATTTATTTGATTTGGACCAAAGTCTTTCATTCCTTCCTATACAAAGGATCTTTATTTGATGTTTATCAGCATACTTTAAGTGAAAATGGATTTCAAATGTGAATTAACTATTCCATAATGGCTACTTTGCCTACTCAATGTGCAGTAGATCTCTGTGTGTTTACACATACAAACAATATAGTATGGTTTCCTTTTTAACACACTTTCCAGATATACACGTTTGCACATATTCTTTGCCATTCTCTGCTGCTTATTTACAAGTGTTCGTCAGAGCTGCTGTAAATGTAGCTTTCTTTGCCTTAGACATTATAATTTTAATGTCAAATCAATTCTGTTTGTATGTATATATTTGTACCCTCATTATTTTCCTCATTATATGTATGTGTTACTTTCCTTAGGCGAAACTCTTTGGTGCTTCAGAGTCTGTTAATCACTGTATTCTATTAAAAATCTACTGCTATTCTTTTGATGTTTGAGTATTGGTCATAAAATATAAATAAAACTTTACAATACGGGATTAATTCATGCTTTACTAATCCACAGATAATACTGAATTAATTTGTACTAATGATTATCTAAGCTATTCATTAATGATTACCACATTAGGAACTAATTAAGAGTCTGTAAGGTCAATGTATTAGTTCATACATGAATTGTTATTAATTTAATATGTAATTGTGGATTAATTCCATAATAACTCATTTTTCAACTAATAGGGTAAATTAATGTGTTAATTTCAAGAATGAGTCAAAGCCTTGTATTTCAACTTCCAACTTTCTAATACATGACTAATTACTTCATTTTTAGTGCAAATTCATGTGCAAATTACTACAATTACTAAATGACTAGTTAATAATGATGTGCCCCAACAAGTAAAGTCATAACATAATGATACCTTTGCAAATCATTAGCTAATGATTAATTAAAGCAGACAACTGGAAGTTGAAGTGCAAAGCTTTGGCTAATTGTGGTAATTAACACATTAATTTACACTATTAGTTCATAAAATATGTTATTAAGGAATTAATACACAATTACACATTGAATTAGCAATTCATGTATTACTTAATCTATTAATCATATAGACTCTTTATTAGTTGTTGGTGCAGTAATCATTCATTAATGGTTTAGTTCTTCATGAGGTATACCTTAACTCATGATTACCTGTGAATTAGTTAAGCATGAATTTATGCAAATTAGCGTGCCCGTATTGTAAAGCCAAATAATCTGTCTGGGAATGGGAATGAATGCAGCACCATATCACTTAATTTAAGCATTAAAGGCAGTTATTTCTATATCTGTGCTCTGTTGATTCATTAAATGAACATATATTCTGGATCCAGACTGGACACAACACTGATTTCTTGTGGGTAGATGTCAAGCACCAAAGGCTCCTTCAGTTGAATGCTGTGTTGACACAAGAAATAGTTATTCTAACTCTACAGCATCCACAGCTCTGAGCAGTCTGCTAGATCCCACTTGTCTTTCATCTCATTCCTCCGTTGGAACATTTTTAAATCTGTTATAATGTTATCGTTCTTACAGTTTGCAAAAAACAGTGTCTGCGGTAAGCAATCTGATTTTAGGAATTTCATTTTTTATTTTCAACTTTCAAACAAGACTATACTGTTCATTTAAAGTTAATCTTAAAAAAAAAAAACTTTCCTATTGGGGTTGTTTGAGTACAAGAGCAGGCAGGATCAGGATCACAAGCTGAGGCTCGAAGGATCCTATCCACTCGTTTATCAATGTGGAAGTGAGCTATTTCCTGTGAATGTGTGTGACTTCCGATTCATTAGCTGCTAATAACTAAGAATAACAAAATGTGGCGAATGGCAAAACTATTTGTGCTACAAACCAGTGTGTTTTGTGATTATAATAATACATGCAAATAATGTGATAACCAATACAACAAATTGCAACAACAAGCAGCACAATGGACTGTTTTTGTATGACTAAAATTACTGGAAGTGGCTGCCACGGAAACCTTGCACATTCAAGTTAAAAATGTCCACATACTTTTACCTTAAGAATAGCCTTTTTGACTCCAAGGCCCCCCATTGTTCACAACAATATTACAAGGTGTTTGTTTGTTTTTTTCAGTTGAGACACATTTTCAGTTAGAAGCTCATTCACTTTGATTCCCTGCTTGATTCACTTTTCTCTAAATTACCAATTCATTGAATGTAAGAATGAAAATGATTCAGCGAATTTGGACACTGAGCACGACCAAAGTGCTGGGTACAACATCTTTTAGTGACACGTGGGAGTTTAATTAAAACATAGATCACAGTGCATAGGTATTCTCTAGCGGCTGGCTGTTAAGTGTACATACTGTAGGTTGTTCACTTGTTAATGAAGTGCTAGATTGAATGAGTGCACTCTAGTATCCATATAGTTATTAATGTCTGTGCCTCAAATATTACATTATATAAGTGAATGTCAGTTGGGTCCAAAATAAAATTATTGATGATAAATTATCTCCTCACTGTCCGCTAGCTGCCTGTCCCCTGAGCACACAGTTAAAAACGCGTTCTCAGTAGAGAGCCCAGTCTCCACAAATGGCAACAAAAACAAACAAAACATAACAAGTGTTCCGCAGCCAATAACCGTCAAGAATGATTAGGGGGTGGGTTGGTTGAGGAGGAGGAGGAAGGGTCGAGCTAGCCTCTGTTTTGTTTTACAATACTTTGAACGTCAACAAGAAGTGACGTCACCCAACATCACTTAGAACACTTTGAATGCTCGAAGCAGGTCAGGATGGATTCTGATTGGCTGTCAATATTTTTTATCATTCATCAGCTGGAAAAAAAAAATTGTAGTGAAAATGATTGCAAACGTTTTTACAAAGCCCCTTAAGGGTTAAAGGGACATGGTGAAGGGTTAAAACAAACATGAGATGAGAGGAGGAAAAATGTCAGTTTGATACATTTTGTCCTCCAGACTCAAAATCTCCAGTCTTTTGCGTTCCCCCCAAGAAATTTTGCATTCGTTCACGAAAATTTCTCTGCGAAAGGTTCTGCAATCAAAAGCAAAGTTTCTTATGGGAATGCAATTTTTTGTAAGAACGCAAAAGCTTTGAAATATTTTTTTTCTCCAATTCTATAGACCTTACCCAGACAGCAAACTGACATTGAATCAACGACATCCCTCATGACATCGAATCAACGTTGATCTGTCATTGTTTTGCTCATCGAATTAACGTTGAACCAACGTCAGACGCGGCATTCTTCAAAGCTAAATGAAAATCGAAAATTGGTTTGCTTTCCTAACGTTGAAACAACGCTGATTTAAAAAAAAAAAAAAAGAAACGTTGATTTCAAGTTGATTTTTCCGTTAGTTTTGAAGAATGACGCGTCTGACGTTGGTTCAACGTTAATTCGATGAGCAAAACAATGTCAGATCAACGTTGTTTCGATGTCATATTTCCACGTTGATTCAATGTCAGTTTGCTCTCTGGGTATGCACCAGCGAAACGTGGGCGCCGTCATCTTTATAATATTGTCTTTGAACGTACGTTTTTGCGGTCGCTCTGTATATTTCTATGGCATCGCTGTCGAGGTTAGCTGGTGAAGTGGATTTACTTATTATAGAGTCAACAAAAGTTATCATGAGCATTGTAATGTTTATAGGCATTGTAAAGCAGATGTCCGAACAAATATCGACAGGGAAATTTTTAACGAGCAGTTCATTCATACCTATGGAAGATCGCTGTGAAAATACAGACCGGAAGTCAAAAGACAACAAGCGCAGTGCTGAAAAGGGGCGGGGCTACATAAGGTCTATAGAGAATGGGATCGTGACATCAGTGGATCCCAGTAACGCAAGGCATTGTGGGATTTTAGGACACAAAGGTTGCGTGAGAAACGTCAAATCATAGTCAAATCTGCTGTATATTTTTTGTATTTTTGTACTTTTGATCTATTTACTAGTTCTTAATTTATGTTTATGTGTACGGTTAAGCACCAATATACCAAGGTAAACTCCTCGTATGTGAAAACCTGGAAATAAACCGGATTCTGATTTATAACAGAAACTAATCTAGAACATTGCAGAAACAACAAAAACAACAGCGTTTCGCTGTTCCTTTCCTTTTGCTCATCTCGGTTGATAACCTTGTGCTTGCACGGTCCATGTGTGTTTGTTTACCTTAGTTACGACAACCGTGTCTTAAAAGATGGCCGCCGCTACCCAGAGGGCACTGCACCATGACATAGTTTTCCAACCAGCATGTCCCTTTAGTGGCAAGCTGTGGTGTGGACTATTAGGCTATACATTGAAATGTTTATCGTCCATGCGGGCCTTAAGAATTTTCATTTTTGAATGAACTGGCCCTTTAAAATGAATTTTACTCTATTCAAAGATTGGCTCATTCATTTCACAGAATGCACAGTCCTACGCTTTCCCAGTCTCAATGTCTCTATCTCCTCTCTAAAGGACCAAGCATAGAGAGCTGTCAGGTCGCGTTTGTGCTCTCCATGGACACTGACTCTTCGGACAGAGCACTAAAAGCACATCATCAGGCGGCTCCTGAGAAATGAGCTACTGTTGAGTTCAGCCACCTCCCGCGAGAGCGGCGACCTGACAGGCTGTAGTAGATGATTTCACTCATTTTCTGCCAATGCTGCTGGCAGAGTGACCTTGTTTGGTACCGCAGGTTTCCGAAAATAAACTTGTCACTCTTAAAGGATCTTGAAACTATAAAGCTTGCTCAAGTGAGAGAAAGCTAAACGTTCCCTGTCACGAAAGCTGCAGGTATGAGTCGGCTCTGATTTAAGTGTTCCTACGCATGCGCCCACACGCGCAGAAATGCACATCTACAGTGCAGCCAACACACTTGAACATTCTTAAAGGCTTTTTCCCGTGACTCTGTGAATAATTAAGGTTGGAACCGTAGGTGGACCAAACATGTCGTGTTGTTTTGAAGACAAAAGCTTTCTGGCTTATTTCCCAGAGTTCTTGAATTTGAAGCAATTTAAATATATATATATATATTTAGCTACCTCTAGCCTCCATTAAGAACTCCATTAGTTCTTAAATTAGCCTAGTATTTCATGATCTCTGTCTTTCAGATTGATACAGCCCCTTTGACTCTGTGATAAAAAGGAGTTTCAAGCCCACGCCGCTATCCGTGGCTCTGCTTCATGATATGTCAATTGACGCCGACAGCGGGACGTCTGACATCTACCTATTATAAAGTGAGCACTGCACATCTGCCCTATTACTCACTCCCACACCGCCCACCTCCATTTCCATCCTTCTTTTATTTATTATTTCATCCCTCACTCTCTTCCTCACTCGTTCTCTGTCTCTCGTCTGCTGGAGAGCTCTTCTGATGTGCTCGTCCTTTAGGACTTTGAGCGGTGGTGTTACCATGGCAACCACCCTGTCAAGCAGGCATCAGAGTAATGTCTTTCTCCAGCTGAGCACTCCTCCCCACTGACCCACTCACATCATTTGA